CCCTTCTCAGAATTGCAAACATTTGGTGAGAATTGTTTAGCCAAAATTTTGAATCAGTTGTCTTAGCTCACAGCACTTCCAGTTAATTTTTTTTCAAACAACTGAAGGGAAAGATAAAAACCTAATTATATTAAAAAATCAGAAAAAGATATAAAGTGGAGCCACAAGCCAAGATAAGAGAGGAACTTCAAAGATTCTGAAAAGAATACTCATTTTAATTTTAAAATTTCCTATGTTGTACTTATCCTCATAATTAACACTATTTAAATTAAGCTCTTATTATTTATGCAAATCTTTAATTTTACCTAGCTGACACAGAAACTCAATCACAGAACATAGATTCATTCATCACATATTCAAATATCTACACAAACACGTTAACATTAATTTTATATGCAGCTGATTCAATAGCTACTTTAACTTAGCATACTGTGTATTTTATTAACTGGTAAAGTTAATTTCTGCATTTTATTTTTAAGTCTGTCAGATGATTTAGTAATAGCCAAGTTAGTACATGAGAAGGGTCTGTTTTAAATTGGGAGGCGCTTTGGAGCTCTTCTTGTTTGAAGAAATCTATGTTAATATATTCTAGATATTAATACATACACACAAAAACAGATTTACAAAAGTGTATGTGTAGTATATAATGTATAGAGCATTAATTTACAACTGTAAAAAAAAGGGTACTTGTTGATGTTCCTGTATCTTTGCAGCCTTGCAATTGTGCCTGAGACAAAAGCCATTCGCAGCTCCTCAGAGAGCTGCAGTGTTGAAACAGCAGAATAGTGTTAAAATATGCACAGTAATGGAAGCTATATTTCAAATTGTCCTTCCAAGATGAGCGGTAAACACAGAGAAAGGTAAGTTACGAGCAGTTTTTAATGTTACTTTGATCAACAGCTTCAAGAATTGGCAAAGATAAGTCTCATTTAACACAGGTTCTGAGAAAGATCTACACCAAAACAATACCGAAATTCTTGCAATCCTTACAAAAAGAAGAGTTTCAAATGTCATAAGTGTTGCCATACAATTCTAGCGAAGCTATCTTCATTATTATTATGCTCCCAAATAGAAATGTGTAGTATGAAACTTGTGTTATTTTAGGGTTTCTTTTATGGAGAGACTCCCTTCTGCAAAATTATTGTATGCTTTATGGTGGTGCTGCACCATTATGTTTTTTGAATCTGCAATTCCATTTTTCTTAACTCTTATGGTACAAAAATCAGCTTACTTCTGTTGTTTTTGCAATAATCGTCTTAAACATTAATTATTGGAATAAAAAGAAATAAACAAAAACAGAAACAAAAACAATTTCTAGCAATTCTTTTATGCCAAACTACTGCTAAAAACAAATTTGAATTTTGATCCTGCAAACTTTTTTACCTGTACTCAGTTTGAGACCACTTAGTAGTCCTTTCAGTTTCAGTGGAATTTTATGAAAACATAGATAAGCACTGCCAGGAATGGGACTTTAATCTGCTGCGTCTTAAATCCTACAGAATGGACACGAAATATCAGATTAAAAAAAAAAAAAGTTCCTCTTATTCCTAGTCCTATTTTTTTAACTTTTTATTTAATTCAGAGAATCTAAGGGTACTTCTGCAAATCAAAATACTATGTAGCTATATCTGAAATAACTCTAAACAAGTTAAGAAGCAGCACACTTAAGCAATGAGATGCATCACAGAACTGCTTTGAGTATCTTCAGCAGCTTCCTCAGATGCACCAACACAGCGCTGGATAGTTTAGAAGCACTGAATAAGAATAGGACTTCGAGTCTCTAACACAAAGTCTGTAACTCAGGTAGTGACATTATAAGCCTACCTAGAAAAACCTCTTCCTTCTGAAATCCTTTCTAGGAGTTTGTTTTTAGCAAAATGCACTGAGATGTTTTCACTACTGCAAGATCACTATAAAAAAAAAAGTTCAGAAGTACCTCCTCACCCCACCCTCCAAATATTTAAAAAAGCCTTATACTTATGCAGTCTGATGCAGACGTGGTGGTGAAGTGTCCTACTTATGTAAGATTTCATGGCCAAACAAATGTGTAAACCACCACCACCATGACATGTGTACTCAGTTCCACTCCATCTTCAACAGAACCAATCAAAGGCGGTAAGTATGGGGGGACCTGAAATTTATAATACTGTCCAGGAGAAGCAGGTTCTGGACAATCAACATCTTTTACAAACATGACTGAACAAGCTCTAATTTAATGATAATAAATTTCAGCCAGAGCAGGAGATTCTAAGTCACCAAATTCCACACATTTTTGTTGTTTACTGAAAAAACAGTAAATGTTCCCACTGGGTTTGGGCTAGCAGGCAAGGGTGCTAATTAATGAATGTCAGAATTTTTTTTTTTTTAATATAAACCAGGATATTTCAGCTATTCTATTTTAATAAAAAAAGGTGAGGGCTTTAAATTTAGAACATAAATACAAAAATGCTAATGCAAAAATTAACAGAATAAAAATATATGATTTAAGAGAGATTTAGGATACATCTGATTCTTAAAAAATGACAGATTACAATATGTCTATAACAGGAAAAGAATTCCATCGCTAATAATAAATCATATATAATATTACAGGAATACTGAAGCATCGGTGTATAAACATTCTAGTGTGACTGACATGGGAGGAAAAGGAAAAAGATAATCATGCATATGACATACACATAAATCCTTATAATGCAGCTGATATCATAGGTGAAGCATACTGGGCTACAGTTTTGCAGCAGCTAATGATGCTAATGCAGCCATAGCCATTCTATCTTGCTTTATTTCTTAAATATTGAATAAATTGAAGTATGCATTTAAGGCAAAGTAATTTTCAGAAAAAATTACATGTTTGTAATACAGCAAGAACTCTTTTAAATACATGTTAAAATAGATTGTTTTCAAAGGGTTGGTGTACTGAAGTCTTAACTAAAGAGGAAAACATCTGCACTTAGATAACCTAGAACAATCACATATTCTCTCAGCTAATTACTAAGGAGGATAGTTATTAGGTATCATTATCACCTCTCATTTCAATAGGGGGAAAAAATACCTGTACTAATACAAACCTGCTTACAAATATCTGTAAGTACGGACTCATCTTGTAAAATAAACAAGATAATTACCACTGAAGAATAAAAACAGCAGAAATCAACATTCCCGTAAAACAAATGACAGTTTGGAGTAGCTAAAATTACCCCCTTTAAAAGATATAAAATTAGCCCAATGATTTTCATGCTGCTTAGGAAACTGAATGACAGCTCAGAGGATGTTTTCACTAACATGGAATTTCAGACATTATTTTTTACAGAAGTGCAGTTGTTTCCTTTTACTCATATAAATATTTTAAACAAATTAAAAATCTCCATGGGTGAATTAAACTGCTTACCTTTGAGCCTCGCTCATTAAAAATAATTTCAACATCTAAGATTTTACCAAATTGCTGCAAAAAAATAGAAAAGTTACATGAAAATAAGATAACTTCAACACTTCTATCATATATGGTACAAACGTTTGTTTCAGAAAATGGTGCACCACATAAAAAAGTTAAAGGACGTACAACCAAAGATAGTCAAGCACCAAAAAGACACACTGAAGAGAAGCCAGATCAATGCAACAACTATATCGTATGTATCATTACCCTTGTCACTATCATTCCACATATGCATTTATGAACTTACAGTTCAGTGAAACCACCTGACAAAGAGGAAATCATCATTAAACTGTGATCACAGTGAAGTGAGAGCCCCAAATTTCTCTTTTTTATTTTTTCTTTGCACATAGTAGGTTACTTCCTTGTGATCCATCCAGTCCAGCTGCCATCACTGTTTTTTTCATATGTAATATACTACTGATTAATTTGCTTGGAGTATAACAAGACAAGATTAACAGCTTATGTGAACACTGTTGCCCTCTGGTCATCTTTCCCTCTGAAGAACCTTTTTTTCAGGAGACTTTTTGCAGCTTCTTTCCAGGAACAGGTAAAGGAGTTTGGTTACTTCTGCTTTACAGGAGTAAGGTGAAACCAGCTGGGAATTTTGTCACTGGCCTCAAGGAGTGAGGATTTCCCTCCACCCTTGCTGAAAAGGGATAACCATTACTCCCTAAGCAATTCTTGTCTCACTAGAGTATAGTTTGGAAAACTAGAATGGATACTTACTTGTTGGGGATTTTTTCAGTTTTATTATAATATTAATAATATAATTATTACTATTACCTTACAATAGCATTCACGATCATCTAGGTATTGTTCACACACACAAAACTTGACCACAGTTGCTATCCCAAAGAAAAAGTCTCTATTAGACTTGCCTTAGTAAGCGAATAAATGTTCGACTCAGGCAGTGTTTTGTTAGAACATTTTCTGAAATGACGTGTTTTGTGATGTGACACTGTAATGTATCAGTGGGCCATTTCTATTATTTCGTATGTCATTAACGTGCAGTATGGATCAGTGTTAACACTGATAAGTGACACAATATATTAAACAACAAGACAGAAATTACAGGCAGGCAAATGAAGTATAATCTAACAGGAGTCTAAGGAACTGCATAAATGAGCCTATACGTCAGTATTTTAATATGCAATAAACAATTACAGGCCAGAAAGGACAGTATTCCTTCTCTAGCTTACTAAAGTGTTGCAACTTGGTTATGAAAATCAACCATCATTTGTTATCCCTTGGCTTACTTTAAGTTCTCTCATTCACCGTCTAATTAATATTTTAACCGCAACTTTAGCCTATAAGCAGATATTGACTTAATGTTTAAACAATCCTCCTCTGCTGTATTTATGTCCACGTAAAAAGATCATCTGCAATGTGTATAAGATGGTCATGATGCAGCATTACCATATTTTGTATCAGATATTTCAACTCACACTTGCAGAAATTTCATTTTTCTATCAATTCAGAAGCTAGAAGTTTACTGTTACCAAGTCATTCTAAAGCTGGAAAACTCTAGGCGTTCTCCAGTGTTACTCTTTTGAGATCTAAGACTTAGAAATATTGAAAAAGAGATGTAGTTTTTATTCACTTATAAATTACTACAATCCCTCAAAAAAAAAAGATAATTTCATTTAATGTACTTTCAATTAAAATAAATCTATTTTAAGTGGTTTGTTTAATTTAAATAAATTTGCTTATTTTCTCTGGAGGGTTAATTATTATGCCTTCTGCTATTTTGCTGATGTGCTGTAAACTGCATTTAGGGGAGGTTACTCGTAGCAAGTCACACATGGAAAAACAGTCACTCTT